AATTGAAGAAAGTTGTTCAAAACAAGATGAAAGTTTTTCTCTGGTTTGCCCTACAGCTTCCACACACGAAGAGAATAATATTTCCGAATTGACAACGATTTCGTTAAAAGCTTCTAAAAAATTTGATAAAACAACAGTGAGCAACAAGGCATCCCTGAATAATTCTGATCCATTACATAACAACACAAAAGAATTGCAGGAGGAAAAATCTCAGAAAAAAAACAATAGCAGCGAATATCAAAAAGAAAATGATAATTCAAATGATACAAAGACAAAAGAGGATAATATGCCATTATTAGTGCCAGAGTTTTCTTTAAATTTTGATTCTAATTCAGATAGAGATAGTTCCAGATCTCCACCTGTTATAACGAATCAAGAAGAACAAATGATAGGAGATGTAAAGTTAATGGAAAGTAAAATGATAAGTCAAATTGAAAAAATAGATGAAAATAAAAAACATTCCTATAAAGACTGTGAAATGACAATTGCTGATATTATAACGCAATTAGCTTATCATGAAAAGGTATAAAAATATTTATTACTTTTAATTGCTTAATTAAATAAATTTTTATATAATTATACGATGAAGTTAATTTTAATGACTTATTACAGGCAACAATAAAACATAAAAGATATTGCAATTTGTGCGAAAGATGGTTTCCTACAACTTCACGACATCGCCGACATTTAGCTGGATATCAACATCGTTATATGGAATTGACACAACGTAAAAGTATACACGCGCTTTTTATTCTTTTTACTGGCAAACCATGTCCAAGACTTTTGCCAGCAAATATCATTCGCACTGATTGTTCTATAGGAGAATTAACACCTTTGCAAATTGCGGTTCAGGTATAATTTTATTTCATATATTTGTTTATATTTTAAATTCAAAATATGTTTACATTTTAAACTCAAAATATTTTATTTTATTGATTATTTTTTATAGGATGTTGCAAAATGTGTCGAATATGTGCAACCGGATCATAAGACAAAAGAATAATAATAATGAGTTACTATAAATTATTTTGGCTGCATAGATGATTTCCTGTGATTATATATACTGAAACAAATGATGTGAGTACCTTTGAAAAATGTACTATAATGATAAACAAAATGAATTCTGTGACTCTTTTAATCTCAATGGAATTGTATATTTTCAATATGATTACTATTCTTGGCAATCATATTATATCATTATATAATATATATATATATATAAAAACAATAAAATTAACATCTGTGAGCTTTGCAAAAAAAGAAAGCTTTGTTGATTGATGTTAATTGTTAAGTTACTTGAAAATTACTTTAAATAGTTAGATATTTAGCCAAAGATTTTAGCAAAAAAAAAAAAAAAAAAAAAATAAATGTATATGTTACATTATTTATAGTTTTGGAAGACTACACAGTCTTTTATTTGTACAAATGAAAATATGATAAGTAAATGTGCTCGTTATGAATTTTTATTTATATTGTGAAAAGACTTATATATACAATGCATAAATATATGTGTATATATATATATATATGTGTGTGTATGTATTTATATATATATGTATATATATATATATATATATATATATATATATGTATGTATGTATGTATGTTTATTATTCTTGTTTTAAAAAGTATGTATTCTTGCAATGTTAAATAGTAAACCTAAAATTATATATGGTTACATTTATATAAAATTATATATTTGAAACAGGGGTAGTCAAAATAATATCTCTATATGATATGTATGTTATAAAACAAATTGAACTATGAAATGTTAAAATGCCAAAAAATTTATACAATATGAATGAATGAACATAATATAATTTAATTTTTAAAATTAAAAATTATATATATTCTCTGAAAATAAAGTATCCTATATATAAATTCTCATAAATTTCAAATCTTGATTTTATTTATATTTATTTTTAATAAGTATAAATTTTTATAATAAGAATAGATTAATAATATAGATTAAGTTAATAATGATATAATAATGATATAAGCATTTAAAGTTAATTGGTATAAGCAATAACATCTCATAGTTCAATAAAAAGCTTATAAATAATATATCTATTCACTCCCCTGTCACATGTTTATTAAAATTATGTTGATTAAAATTATTAGATGTGCCTAATAAGTTACTGTTTACAAATAACAAAGTTTTTAATTGTTTTTAAATGTTATAAATGTTTTTCTTATTATTCTATTAATATATACATATTGGGAGTGGCAAAGAACAAGTTCCTGGTTATAAAAAAAGATGGAATAAATATATTCCTTGTTAAGAGGCTACAAAAAAAAATAGATGTTATACTAATACAGGGTTAACAGACTATATCTACAATTGTTTTATAATTTACTTTTTCGCGGTTTACATTCCAAAGAATAAAAATGCAGTAAAAGTCACTTTATTGAAAGATCTAGTTTTATCATTAAATGCAACCAAATAAAAAGAAAATATAATATATTTATATATATATATATAAGTCTATCAATTGTTATTCCACTTAATGTTTTGTTTCTTATAACTTTGTTTTAATTTTTCATATTTTATTTGCACGAGTGCCTTAAAATACACCTAACAGTATTTGTCGTATCGTGTTATGTATATCATATAAGATTAAATGAAAAAAATTATATATATATATATATATTTCTATTATTCTTGTATAATATATGCATAATACATGTTGCAATTATGAGAACATTAAATTATATACCATTGCATAATAAATATATTGCGAATAATTTTTCTATAAATATGTAAATCTCAAATTTATTTTACAACTTTTACTGTAATTTTATTTACAATTTATCTATGTAAGTGTGTCTTTTAAAATCATTTATATATATTTAAAATAAGCTCTATAATAATAATATAAACTAAGAAAAATGTTCTCTTGATTGAAGCTTTGTTATGCAGATATTTTAATGATATCATTGTGTGTTCTATGTGCCTAAATTTTAAGAAATTTGTATGCATCAGAAGTTCAAATATGCATAATATTACTTATATACATATATTCAACATAATATAAACATGCATCACTTGTACATTGTATGAAGAAAAACAAAGTCTAAAAAATTTTTATAAGTATAAATTATTATGTGATAAAAAATATATCAGTTTAATTTTTATGCCATGTTTCACAAAAAAACTAAGTTTATTAACATTAAATATTCTGAATATTTAGTTGTGTGGATATCTATACAAATTTTAAATATATCAAAATCATAAATGTAGCAATTTATCATATGATATTAAATTTCATTAGCGATTTAAATATTACAGATTCTTCATCTAAATTCAAATAATTTAGTAATGTTGTATCTATTAAAGAACCAGGATATTTTTAAATATGATTACATTTAAAACATATGCTTTATTTAGTTGAACATTGATTTTTTAAAAAAATTAAATTGCTGACTTCCATTAATGTAAATTATTATAAGATTGCACTGATTCAAATATTATCAGTTAAAATAATTTATATTAAAAAAAAAGAAAAAAAAAAGAAAAAAGAAAAAGTGAAAAGAAAAAAAATTCTTTTATCATTGATAGCAATATTATTATTTAGTTTAAAGATTTAAAATTTTTATGTGCAAGTTATCAATTTGTAAATCAAATTAATTATAGAGGTGGATTTATTTATAAATCAAACAAACATTTATAAATCAATAAAAAAAATTTTCATAAGTCAATATTATATATACATCCATCTATTTTTGATTTATAATCTTTTTATATTTTTTAACATTTCAATTATCACCTATAATGGCACTACTTAGATAAGGCAGATCTGTATAGAAAAATAAGTGCAATTGTATATTTTTACAAAGTTTACAATTAATTATTCTATCAGAAAATACTAATTTTTAAAATGGTCATTAGCTGTGCAATTCTAAATCAAATAAATTATTTATACAGTTCTGCTATAGTTTTATACACAATGTGTGATTAACATAATAAAATAATTGTATGATATACATTATAAATAAGCTATAAAAATGTTTTAGATTTGTAGCATTTTTTAAATTTCATTATATCCAATATATAATATATGTAAAAATTTTAAAAACATTATATATATATATATATATATATATATATATAAATATTATAAAAAAGAAATTAATAATAAAATTTTATAATTGTTTAAATTTAAAAAATTGTTTAATTTATATGAAATTATATATATGAAATTATTACGAATAAATTATAAAAAATAGATTAATAGATATTTTAAAAAATAGAAGAAAGAAAAATGTTACATATCTAAAACTAAAACCATTCCATAATTAGAATAAGAAATTTAATTAATAAAAATAAATTGTATGAATCAATAGATTATTTTCTGTTATTGTACTTAGGCTACAGAAGTGTATGCAATTGCAAAATTTTAGTTGATATATTAAAGAAATAATAAATAAAAAAAATTATATGTCTTTTTCTAATCCTTTAATATCCTTTTTTTTTAATCGTTATTTGTTTATCTGCTTTTATTTATATAATAAAATTATACGATTATAACATTTTATTATTTTTAAAAATTACATTACTACATTTCTGTTTTTCATAGGTTATTATATTTATATACAACAAATTCAAAATTGCATTGAATTAATATATCTATATACATAATACGAAAATGTATTATTCTAAAATATAATATAAAATACTATATAATGGGTATTTAATAGATCAATTTTATTTACATATTTTTTCTACATGTTATTTTCTTATTAATAATTGAAATAAAAATAAAATTTACCATTTAATAATTAGTAATATGCGATTTCAAAGGATTCATAAAAATATATTAATATTATTAATATAATTTAAAATAATATCGTATATATTTGATATTTTTTTTAGATATTTTTAAATAATTTATTATATATTTTAAAATTTTAATATATCGCATATATAAATTCTTGACTAGTTTAATTAAATGTTACATAAAGTTATTGATCAAAACGGAAAGTCAAAAAGCATGCGCGTTTTTCTTACTTATAAATGACAAGAAGATGATGTTTTACAAAGCTTTGCAAGTGTTTTTCCATTTTTTTACAATTTTATTATGTGTATCTGGTGAAACGTTAGTAAAAAAAAATGAAAAACGCACTAATTTCAGAAACAATTATCAAATGTGCCTCGACAGTTTTAAAATTCACGAAGATAAAATTATTCGAACACAGGAATCCCGAGATATGGGTGCTAAATTTTTAAAAGAATACGACGTTGATTCTAGAGAAGACTGTTTAAAGTTTTGCTGTGATACTGAAAGTTGTGATGTATTTATTTTTGAAGAAAAGGTATAAGAGTAGTTTTATAGTAGATATAATATAGTATATATAGTATATATTATAGTAGATCTAATATAGTAGAAAAATAACAAAAATTCTTTTGTTTTAATAATTAAATTATTTACATTTTATTAATAATAAATTAAAATGTATATTATACAGAAATCAGGAAGTTGTTATCTTTTTCAATGTGGTCCATTACATGACTTTAAATGTAAATTTACCAATCATGCTAATTATAGTAGTGCAGTACGCAATTATAATTCACAATTGGAAAAAGAACAAGAACATGAATTACAATCTCTTAGGTAGGCAATAATTATTTTGTTGTTTATAATATTTTAATAATAGAATAATAATATTTTTTATATGTAGAAAATTATCAGATCCAGCACCACCAGAATATTTCTTCACAGAACCATCTATGAAATTAATTACAACTTTAACACCAAAATCATCATTGACAACATCTCTACCTATTAAGCAAGGTACATAAAAATCAAAATTTTATATCTATAATTTTATAAGACAAAAAAATAAATATATTATATTTTTTAGTTTGTAGTAGGAATCAATATGAGTGTCGTTCATCTGGAGATTGTATAGCAGTATATAATGTATGTGATGGTATACCACAATGTGCAGATGGATCTGATGAAGCAGCAGATCTAGTATGTCCCACAGAAAAGCCAACAATCTTGCCTTCTATAATTCAAGGACCTCAATCACCTTCACCATTATTACCTGTTGATATAATAAAATATCAACAAATGATTGATCAACATAAATCCCTCCCTCCTATGTATGCTCGCATTCCAGAAGTTAATTGGAAATTGCCTAATTTATCTCATAGAATGATTCCACAACAGCCTCTTTTATATTCAGTTCAACGAATGGAAGTACCTCAAATACATAAAGGTTTTGCTGCACCAGGATATGCATGGGATTATCAATCTATGTATGATCAAAACAAAGACATTTATAATTCGTTTCATGAACAAGGAAATTCAAATCCTTATGAACGTAAGTAATGATTATTTTATTGAATAAAATGGAATTATTAAAGTATTTTATTTGTAGAAGATCAATCGCATATATTTAATCATAAAGGATCGGGTATAATAGGGGAAAAAGAAATAGACAGGTAATATATCTAATATATACCTAATTGAATAATATATATTTAAATAAAAAGTAAAAACTTAAAAAAAAGTTAAATAAAAAATAGATATTTAAATAAATATCTAATTAAAACTTTTAATAATTATTAAAAGATATTAAGAAATTATAAAAATATTAAGTATTTATATTTAATTTTTTTAAATTAAATAATTTTTTAATTATTTTAAATTATTTAGTGGCATCTATTCAGATATAAAACATCCATATATATCACATTTTCCATCCTCGAATAGAGGCAGATGGCAAAATAATCAAGTTTATCCATCTTCATCTTCAATATCAAGTGTGCAACAGAAGCAAATATTTGAAATAGAAAAAAGTGTTATTATTACAACAACACCTCCTTGTGATGTATGTATTATTATGATTTTAAATTTTTTTGATTTTATGATTTTAAAATTTATCGTAATAAAATCATACATAATAATATAATACATAAATAAATAAATAAAATAAAATATTATGATCTTAGACATCACATGAACAAAAAGATGTTTCAAAAAATAAAGATAATAACAAAATTTATCAACAAGAAGATAAACATGTACTACATGAAAAAGAAATTAATCAAAATAATAAACAAAATACATTAAAAGATGAAACGCCAAAATTTAATCATATTCAACCAAAAGAGCCAAAAGGTATGTTTTTTGATTAATTATTTCTACTTCAAAATTTTATTATAAACAATTAATTTACATATATATATTTTAGAACATAAAAATATAATGGTTATAAAAGATCATATTAAAGAACATGGGAAAAATACCTTAATAGCAGAATATTTAAAAGCAAATGAAAATGAAGTTCTAAAACCTAGGGGAGCAGTTATATCTTTGGCTTTAGGACTTACAATAATAGCTATTACAGCTACGTTAATTGCTTGTCGATTGCGAGTTGTTCGAAGACGTGGAAGACGACATGGACCATATGCCTATGATGCGGATTATTTAGTAAATGGAATGTATCTTTAAGTGAGTATGAATTTTTTTAGACGAAGAAGTTTAGTGATATTTTTATATTGTTTTAAATAATTATATAATAAAACACGTTTTATTTTAACACTTTGATTTTTAAACAAATTGAAAATATTTGTTTGTACTTTATACTTATGAAATCTTTTTTGCTTTTTTTGATGTGCAATATATTTTATGTAAAAATAATTGTATTAAATTTATTAATATGTAAAATTTATTAATTGTAAAATTTCTATATATTTTGTTAAATTTATGTTATATTTACAAGAAAAATATTAAAATATTTCATGAAATAAATTTTTAATCAAATAACTTATATTCATCAAAGTTCTTTATTCTAATTTGATATTGATTATATAATAAGTTTTGTTTTTTGAAAATATTGACAATACAAGAAAAAATTAAAAATTATCAAATAGAATAATTTCTGATATAAAATACTTTCATAATATGAAAAAATTTTAAAGAATTTAATAATAAAATTTTGTCTATGGAAATTTAAGATAATATATTTGAAAAAACAGAACTAACAACTTGTAACAAAATTATATTTATACATAACTTTTACAGCCATATAATACATAAGGTACATAACTATTCTCAATAATAAAATCAATGTTTTCAAGATTATAATAATTATCTATTCTAAAAAAATTGTTATTTTGTTGCTTTTTATATTTTAATTTAATTTTTTATCTCTATAAAAATGTTCTCATTTGAATTTTCTTGTATTTCTAAAAAGGAATACATGTATATATACACATAAATTCAATTAATCTATTATTAGATATAATGCAAATATAAAAATTACTATATTATTATAATTCTATATGCGTCTAAAATTTTCAAATAATCATATTTTTAAGTACTGTAATATTATTTACCTTAACTAAATTCAATAATGTGTATAAAATAATATTATAATATTAAAAAAAAAAAATGAAAGAACTTAAATTACTAACATTTTTCCTATTATATTATAATTATTTTCAATAATATTAAAATAATCAGCTAGCTAGTAAATTGAAAAAATTTTGCATTTATTAAAGAAAATAATTCTTAAAATTCTTTTACATTATAATTTTAAAATTAATAATTAATCTTTCAAAATATATAATTTTTATCAAACAAAATAATCATTTTTCAGTAAAAAAGACAGTCTTGTTTTATTAAAAAATCAATTATTTTTAATTTATAATATATTAATTATAAATTATTTTTATTTATTATATTCAGTATGTCTGAATAGTAATTTTAATTAATAGTTCAATTTGTATATAAAAAAAATAATATTTACTTAGATATGAATATTGTACAATTGAAAAATATTAACAGAATAGAAATAATTTCAATTATAATATAAAAAAATAGAAGATTGTATCATTATTGATACTGCAATGACAACAAGTGAAAATTATGATAATGTTTATAAGAGGGACTGTATGTTTGTTTAAAATGAAATAAAAAAATTATTTAATAATATTAAACATTGTATTATTGAATGCAATTACTGTCGACCAGTAGCTCCTGCATTTTTCTGTGCTTGTATAAATTCAGGATAATCAATATATCCATCATTATTTGTATCGTCCAAAGATAGTATTGGATCTATTAAAGTAACCAATTCCTCATCCTTAAATAATTTTGGTCCAGTATTGACTCCACCTACTTCTTTCTTCTCTTGTTCTACATATAAAGTATTTATTATATTCTCCATAAAGTTAATAATTTAATAATTAATAATTGATTAATACATACCATGCCAATGTATTAAGGACTTTATAAGTTCACAACCATCTAACTTATTGTTATTATCTGCATCATGCATTTTAAAATAATGAAACTGTAGTTCTTGTTCTGTCATTTTACTAGTATCTATTGGAACTTCCATGTGTTCTGCAATATGACTGTAAAATTTTTAATAATTACTAAAGTTTAAGTGATTAATAATAATGATTCTAAATATATGTAACATACGCTTTTTCATGCACTATATTAGCAGCATTGAGTATTGCTTGTCCATGTTCTTGTTGAATTGGTACCTGATGAGTTGGAATGTGCTGTTGTTGTACAGGTACTTGTTGAACAGGAACTTGTTGCATAGGTACCTGTCCTGGCATTTGCTGGAACTTTATAAATTTAATATATAATTATTTTATTAATAATTTAGTGTTGATTCAAAAATATATCATATTTAATATTATATATTATATTTATTAATAATTAATAATTAAGAAATTAAAAGAAAATAAAAACTATTAAATTTTTTTTCATTATTATATGAATGTACCTGTTGTTGAGGAATTTGTTGTGGTACCTGATGTACTTGTTGAAATTGAGGCTAAAATAAATAAAATATAAATTGATTTAATAAATGAAATAATAAATAAAAAAATATATTTTCATGCAATTTAAAGATATTATATTTTTGAACATTAAATGACAGAATGTTTGTATTAAGCTTCAACATAATAGTAACCATATGTTTGATTATTTGAAGAAAAAAACTTACTTGTTGATAATGTTGGGGTGATACACCTGGTGGAATTCTTTGTTGTTGAGCATATAAATATTTACAACAAAAACATCCGATTATAAAAAGGCACAATGTCCAATTCATGTTGCAATATTCTACAACACATAGATGCACATATATGTAATTATATATTTAAAATATATAAGAAAAATGATATATACATATTATTACATTTAATTATACTGTATTATATTATAAATCACAAAAATGATAATAAATTTTAAAGATTATTAAAAATACCTTGTTTATGTTATACAATGTATAAAATTGACATGTACGCAAATATCTTGCTCATTGGCAAGATCAAATACCGGATTATAAATTTTGAGGTTACGTTACAACAGTTATATACTGACGTGGACAGAGCACAAGTATTACTTTCCGCTATAGTTCATTCGATATATTTAAAATATAATAAAAGATATGAATAATAAATTGTCATTAACTATAGTTTATATAATTTGAAATTAAAATTATTAGAAATTAAAAAAAGATCATGTGTTTTTAATTTTTTAAATTGATAATTTTTTTATGGATTAAAATAGAATTGATGGATGAAATTTTATTTAATAATTTAAGATACTATTTAGTAGATAAAATTTTAATAATTAAAAATTTTATGAAGATTATAATATTTAATTTCAATTAGCAGAAATTGATCAATTAATTATAATATTATTAAAAATTATTTATTAATTAACAAAATTATTTTCAAGTTATCGCTTCAAAATCTATTAATCAATTTTTTCATGATGATAGTTCATACATTTGTAAATTAAAATCCATTCTATTATATACATTGTTTTAAAAAAACAATGTTTAATAAAAAATATGTTTACAAGTTGTTGAATTTCTATAAATGGGTGTAAAAATACTTCTTATTTATATATTGAATTAAATTTAAATATTAATTAGTTAAAAAAATGTAAAAAAAATTGAAATAAATCCTTATAGTAATACATATTTTATTTTTATACAAAATTTAAAAATAAATAAATAATATTTTACTTCTAATCAATGAGTTAATCCCGCCGTTGTGAGATTCGTACTTTCACAATGGCGGAAATATATTGCTTCTCTCGATATCAAATTTGTGATGTGATTATATTATTTTAAAAAATTGCTAAATAATTTATGACTATAATAAAGTTGTAAAAAGAAATAATATTATTAATAAAGTGTTTATAAATAGGGAAACTTGAAAAGTTTTGTTGTTTAGACAGGTATGTATCAAAATTACGCGGTTTCGTTAATTTTAGCACTAACTTTTGTGTTTTATACAATTTCAGAATTCAGAAATTTATTGCCCGTATCTTTTAATTTGTCTCATATTATTACTTGTATTGGAATAAATAAATTAGTATATAAAATATTGTGTGTGTTTAATAACCCATAATTTGAGATATAATTTAATATTTTTGATTTCAAATTCTTATTTCTTAAATATTTTATTTAATTTAAAATAATTAGAAAATATAATTTTTTGTTTTTATTTCTTTATTTAAAAAAAGAAGTAATATTATATGTCTGATTATAACAAATGGTCAAAAATATGTAAGATAATGTGAAATTTCACTTATTACTTTTTTAAGAGTATTTTTTTGGTATTTTTTTATTTTAGAAGACCAAACTATAAATGGAAAATGCCTCAAATATTAAAACATCGGAAAGTTAAAAAACCACAGAAGAGAGTGTTAAGTAAAAGAAGGCATTTTTTAACTAATTATCGTGAAACTAGGTCTTATAAACCATGTAAGTTTTGGAAAATTCTTTATAGATATCATGATATCTTTGATATATAACAAAATTTAATTGTTACAGTATGTAAACAATTAAAAATGAACAATAATTCATTAGCGAAAGCATTATCTAGAGAAAAGCATGAATGTCAATTATTATTTTCTCAAAATGTTGCTTTAATTGCTGAAGTGCAAAATTTAGGTTCAGCTTGTACTAAACGTGATGTAAGTTAAGTATGTTAAACATAAAAATATTTATTTTTATAAATATGTTAAAATTAAATTTATAAAAATATATTTTTCAGGCTATTATATCAAATGTCCTAAAAAATGCTAAAGAAATGCTTAAAATGCTAGTAACAATGACTAGCTATTTAACAAATACAATTTCATCTTGTCAAGAATTTACAGATTCTGTTGCCAATATGAGAATGTCTTTTAATTCTGCTGGAAGTAAGATTATATATTATATTTTATATTATTTAGATTTTAAAATAAATAAAAAAAATTATGTATATTGCAGAAAGAGAATCAATAAAAAGACTGTCAACAAAATCTCCAACTAGAGGAGTGGTGAAACCTATGGTGAGCGGTTACACCATTACAAAACCTACCATTAATTTAAGTAGACTAAATATGCAATATATTAATAATTCATCAAACTTAAGTATAATACCAGAAGTAACAACACCACCCAGAAATCAGGAAGGAAGCAGTTTAAGGTCTCCTCCTAATGGAGTTTCTGAAAGACGTAATTGTGTAAGTATTTTTTAAAATTTAATAAAATTTAAAAAACAATAAATGATTTTTTATTATTAAAAGAATTTTATATTGTATTTTATATTTTATAATATATTTTATAATAATTTTATATTATATTGTAGAAAAATGGTCGCACATATAGAATGCCTGAAAGATTAACTGTTACTTCACCAGAAGATAATGGTATGCTTTTTTAATACATTAAAAAATATTAAAATATGGATTTTGATTAATATATAGAAACATTGATTTTAAAATTAAAACAAATACTTTATTTACTTTTAGATGAAAATGGACGAAAATTAAGCGAAAGAAGTAGTAGACATTCTGGAAGTATTTCAGGAAAGCTCTCAAAATCAAAATCAAGATTGTCAAGGAATAGCAACTCGAGAAACAGCAGTTCGCGAAATAGCAGTTCAAGAAATAGTACTTCGAGGAATAACAGTTCGAGAAATAGCAATTCTCGATATAGTATTGAAAATTTTGAGCATATAGGAAGTCCTAGAGTAAAACTTAATGACGTATCGAAATTATTGCAAAATTCTCATACCATTAATATTCGTATGGTTTGTGTCATTAATAAATTTATTTTTTTGATTAAAACTTATTTTTATATTAATTTATATTTTAATTGTTATATATATAGTTAACAGAAAATCAAAATAATCGAGAAACTAATACATCAAAACATATTTGTGATATGAATCTTGAAGATTCTCAAACACAAATTATACAAGAAATGTCTTCTTCTAATGAGTCCGAACAAAATAATAATGAAAAAATCGAGAGCAAAGATGAACAGAGCAATAATGAGTTGGATATTACAGATCTAAAAGAGAAAAAAAAAATTAATGAAACAAAAAACTGTACATCAAATTGGGAAGATCCTCTTGAAGGACCAAGTTGGTTATTTAACAATTCTCAAGTCGTGCCTTCTGTGACTAATAAAAATAATAAGACTGATAATATAAATATTTCTAATGAAGATATTGTAAGTTTAACAGAATCGAGCGATATATTCGATGAAGAAAAAACTATGTCTATGTCAATTACACATTCAAGTCAGCTGTATAACTCTAATAACAGTAAACAAATGAATGATGAAAATGAATTTGACATATCTCAACAGAATGAAAATAATACTTTTCGTAATGTAACGCTACTGACAGATGCAAATGATGATGAATATAAATTTCAAAATGCATCTACAATGAATTTACAAAATTTTGTGACACAAAGAAGAGGTTATTTTGAAAGTGAAGATGAAGATGATTTTACCTTGATTTATACGCAACGTCCATGTAATATGAATTTCGACATAAATGATTTAAAATTACCAGTTTTGGAACAATCTACTTTAAAACCAAATATTACAGTTGAACCAGAACCAGAAATAACAACCACTCTTCGACAAATATCCCAGATTTATCCAATTCCATCGGTTTCGCACAATACTTTAGATGAATCTGAGTTTAACCAGTCTACCGTAAAACTGCCACTGCTTGCGAATAATGATTATGATGATAAAGAATTGACTATATTAAAAAAAAAATCCAAATCTTCGAGGCAAAAAAAAGTAAAAATAGTTCAGACACAATGTAATGATTTTGTTGAGACATCGTTATTAAAGAAAAATAATTGTCAAAAGAAAAAGAAAGATAAATTTGTGAAAGATCCAAGTGCTGTTAAAGTAGTGTTGCAAAAATTGGATGAATTTGATGTTAAATCAAATGAAATATTGTCTCTCAATTCCAGTCAATCTTTGTAAGTATTATATTAAAATCAGTATGAATATATACACAATATTCGAAAGATATTATTGTAAAAAAAAATGATTAAACAAAAAAATTTTATATATATAATAATTTTGATTTAATCTGACATGATATAATCTGACTAAATGTATAAATATATACAAGTTATATTTATTTCCTTAAATACAATCAATTTTTTAATGCAATTAATTAATGTAATTTAATATTCCTTTTAAAAAAATTTTAATTATTTATATTGGAAAAATAATTAATTTATTTTAATTTTAATTATATAGAACTTGACGTATAATAAAATACACGAAAAGATACTATATTGCATTTTTTTAATTAATTTTTTTATATAATAAATATTTTACGAATTATTTGCAATAATATTAAATTCGAATATTTCGTACATATTTATGTACAATTTAAATTCTTATATATGCAGAAATTCTGTACCTACTCGCTCTAATTCAAGTGACTCAGAAAGTAATTTGAGTATCAATAGCTCTTATAGTCGTCCTAGAAGAAAACGTGTTCCAATCAATTTTCATGAACCTAGTTTGAAAAAGTGAGTAATATATTTTATCTTCATTGGAGATTGAACATGAAGAATTTTGTATATTTTACATTATTTTAAATAATTGTTTTTTATTTCAGAAAATTACGAAGGAATCAATAATTATGCTATGATATTTTTCCATTTTTACTCGAGGAATGATTGATAAAACACAATAGTGTGTTTTTAAAATACATCGACGTTCCCTTTTATGTAAATAAGTTATTAATGCATATAATGAATATTATTAAAAAAAATTTCCAAAAAATAGAGAAATTGATTTTATTAAACATTTATAAGTGTAAAACAAATTAATACTTCGAACCATTTTGCTTCCATTGTTGCGCACAGTTTTGTTATACACAGCTATTGTTAATTATTCACATAAAATCGGCTTGCTTTGACGTAGTCATAGCTTCGATGATTTTGACTTCCTCTTGTAGTATTGTTCGTATATTGTACTTTTTTGTATACTTAATTACGTTTTAATGAGTAAATAAATATTTAAAAATATGAATTTCTTAATTATTCCATTAATTTACTTTCGAAAACAAGCAACGAAAATATTGTTTTATTCTTAATGTTCAATCGTGGAATAATGATTATTGTAAAATCGAAATTTCCTTAATTTTTTGCATAAAGATCACATGACACCATTTTTAATTTTAAGTAATATTTATTTATTAGAATAATTTTTAAGATTTAGATTATATGACTTTTTATAAATTTTTTTCTTAAACTTGAAAAATATATAATAGATACATAAATATAAAATATAATATATTAAATATATTACATGGCAACATTTTATAATATATCTATCTTTATAAAGATATAAAATTGTCAAGGATCGATGATTAAAATATGTATTACAACTGAAATCGAAAATACAAATTTTAAGGTTATTGAAAAATTCTTCAATTTAAATTTTAATATAATTTAAAAACAATCGATTTATTGACAGTTCAGAAAGGTCACATCGATGGACAAATAAAAAAGTTAGAACAAATATGGAGCAAGAAGTGTTACGTATATAATGAATTTAACTTCTCTTAGCCTATATAGTTGTAGAAAATCTGGTATACAAATGGAAATTAATTATTTTTGTTTTTATTTCAAGATAAAAGAAGTTTACTATTGTTTCATTTAAATAGATATCCGATTTGTGATTTTATTTGGTAGCTTATCAACCTAATAAGATCTTTATAAAGTAATTTTAACTTATTATTATTCTTTTCTTTCTACTTTGTTTATGTTTTACAATATCTTTTAATTTTGTTCTTTCAAAATATATTCTTTTAAAATTTTATATTATTATTTTGACTAGTTAAAATCTGGTTTAATAGTTGATATGATAAATATAGTTATAAATAAAGTTCTGCCACATCAAGAGCTACAACAATTCACAGTGACGTAATTGCCACAAACTTAATTGAACCGCTACCTGGTAGCAATTGCAAGGCGTGGGTGTATGCACGCGGAACTTTTTGTGTTAAAATCTAAATTCGACGCCTATATAATAATTTGTTATAAAGCTATTTTCAAATTCATATAGTTGTAATATTGTGTAAAGTGCTAAAAAAAAAAAAAAAATAGCTATCTTAAAATTTTCATACGATAAATCTTAAATGTAATATAGTTTTATATCTTAAATGTAACATTATTTTAATTTTTTTTTCAAAATAAAATAACAATAAAAAAACAATAGATATATAAATCCATTAATTATTAATATTTTTTTCGAATTATATTTAAATATTTTTTGTATTTTAGTTAATTTTTAATTTTTTATTCAAGAATTCATTCAAACAATTTTTTCCATATTTTTGTAAACAAGTGATCACTTTAAAATAATTAAGAAAATCTACTCAGATAAGTTAAAATAATATTTTCTAACAACGAATAAATTATTATTCAGATTGAATAAAATATATTCAATAACATATATTATACAATCATTTAATTTGTGATCCTCTTCGAGAAAATAAATTCGATAGTTGAATACTTAAGAAAACATTGATCTTGAATTGTAGTATTCCAATGAATTATTATTAATTAAGATTGCAGAACATTTCGCTCAATTATAAGCATTATGTGGTAAATGCAAGATAGCGTGAAACAATCATAATTAGTGTATTGACTTGTAGTTCGCTTGATATAAGTTTATGCAATGGATGGTTAGCATTAAAGCGTTCATCCATGCAAATATAATTACGTGTAGTTACTATATCAAAATACAAAACAGCAAAGTTACTAATTTTTTTTATAATCTTTCTCGTTTTCGTTTTATATAAATATTTATTATTTAAAAAATAAAGAGGCATTAAATTTGTAAATAGTGATTAAACATTTTTGAAAAGGTGAAATATAAAACAAGCAGATCTCTAATGTGCGCTACGAGAATGTGAAAAACACCCACTCGCGTAGGAGTGGAAGTGTTAGGAAACTTAAAAAAAAATATATATGGACGAGCATAACATTGAGAGATTTAAAATGCATATTAAATTTTCTTTCGTGGAATTATAATTGCAATATTTTTCTCGTTCAATAACATTTTACATTGTTTATGCATCGTAAGGTGCATAGTATTATCGAGTCTCGAAAATAAAGCAAATTTTTAGTGAGTAAAAGTTGTGTCTTTGACGCGCGTACCGGCGTTCAAACTCTCCCTCCTCGAGAATAACAATGTCGAATTGCGCATGCGTTGGCCATTTCCTAGTAGCGCCGATTGTCTGACCAATAGTAAACGACAGATGACGTTAGCTGTAGCCAATCACCATTCGTTTCAGTGACGACTGAGCTATTTTTAGTGGACATGAGTCACGGGATATAAGGCTGTACGTTTAGTTGGGTGTTCACAAGTTGTCGAGACATCGTGCTGTGCAGCCGAGTGACATCCGCATTCGGTGTACATTGCAGTCTGTTCTAGAGGTGCACACGCGCAGAACATCACGTTCATCGGATTGCGTGTCGTGAGTCATTGTTGTGTTGACAGTTGATCCAGATCGGTCCTCGTGTCGCCGTCGACCTCTGAAATCAAAACGGACAGGCACGACTTGCATCTATACGCGACGCGTTTGCGAACCGCGTAGTCAGTGAACAAAATACACATCTTTTGCGTCTCAATTTCGACTTACGCCATTAAAATACATGTGGCGACTACTACAAACATAATAGGTGGTTTATGAATCGTATCCAGAGTGCGAATTGAACAACATTTGGTGACGACTAATCGTGCAAGCAAGTGTGATAAAAAAAAAGTTGTAGTAGCATCGATGAATTTCTTGAACACGGCCGTCGCATGGTTATGTAACGAAGAGTGACAAAAAAGAAAAACTAGATATACGAGAGTGCTCAGGTGGAAAACGCGGACGCATAGTGAATATAAGAGACGAGTACAGATACATAAAGAGACGATCGATCATCGAACGTGACCGATCGCGCTTTTCCAGTGGCGGTGAGTGTGTGCGCGTGTGTTGAGCGACGGAGTTAGCGATACATAGTGTCCCAGTCGCGCACGGCTCGTTTTCAGAGCTGTAAACTTTCAATCGTCACGCAGTGAGTCCCGCGGCATCGATGGTGCGAAGTTCGACAATGGAGCAAACGTTCTACGAGGACACGAGCGTCTACGGCGCCGTGAATCGCGAGAACAACATGGGTCAATTGAAGCGTAATCTTACGCTAGATCTGAACGAATGTCAGAGACAAGGACCTGAAGCGAAAAAACCGCGATTAGGACCTATACCACCAGCATTAAATAATGTTACTCCAATTTTGAGTTCACCAGATTTGAACATGTTGAAATTGAGTTCTCCAGAATTGGAGAAGTTCATTATCGCCCAACAAGATAGTCTTGTAACGAATTTAGTGACGCCTACGCAAATCTTATTCCCGAAAGCAGTCACCGAGGCGCAAGAATTGTACGCTCGAGGTTTTGTCGATGCTTTGAACGAGTTACACCATTCGGATAGTTCACAAGAACCTGGCAGTATTCATGGAGCTACATATACAACTTTGGAGCCGCCGAACAGTGTACAAAGTACAGAATCATCAGTGAGTCAGGGTGTAATGCAGATTAAGGATGAACCCCAAACGGTACCAAGTGTATCGAGTTCACCTCCGATGTCTCCCATCGATATGGAGAATCAGGAAAGGATCAAGTTAGAAAGGAAACGTCAAAGGAATCGCGTGGCGGCATCCAAATGTCGCAGGCGTAAGCTTGAACGTATTTCCAGGCTGGAAGATAAAGTTAAATTGCTGAAGGGCGAGAACAGCGAATTAAGCGCTGTGGTGCATAGATTGAAAGAGCACGTGTGCCGGTTAAAGGAGCAGGTGATGGACCACGTGCATTCTGGTTGTCAGATCATGGCAGTTTCAGGTCAGTTCTGAGCCGACGGCATCGGGCGGGACTCTCCGACGTATATTGTTTCGTCTGGTATCTATAGTCGCTTTTACAAATGCGACCATATTGTATTCTGTTACCGAAACGAGGAGCTTTTACCATGGAATATCGATGTCGTTTGGATTACATCGTTTTCGATTTTTTGTTGTTTTCGGAAAAAGAGGACACGGTGATGATCGTGCTTAACGATGCAAAAGAAGAAGAAGAAGAAGAAGAAGGAGAACAAGAAGAAGAAGAAGAAAAAGAAGAAGAAGAAGAAGAAGAAGAAGGGAGTGCCTTGATGTACCGGATGACGTAAAATAAAGAGACGCTTTTTTTTTTATTTTAAAAAAAAACAAGAAGATAATCATCCGTATACTCGCGTGTTTCTTTGTGTGTGTCTGCTTTTTATGCATACGTGAAACGCGTTGCGTGACGATTATAGAAAGACTGTAGGGAAAGTGGGAACCGTGGTGGAAAAGGAAGGAGAAAGAAAAAGAGAGATAGAGAGAAATAGCGTCGAGTATATATTACGAGAAGTGAAGTGAAGAACAAAGAGGGCAGGAAAAGGATAGAGTAAAAGGAGAGTGGGTGGGACTTGGCAGCGCGGCCATTTTGGAGAACCTCGAATACTGGCGGGAGATTCAAATCTTCCAGCTGTTTTTTTTAGAAATTTTTTAATTGTATTATATTTTCGTCAGAGGAAGAAATCAATTAAATTGATAATCGATCAAAGAATCTTTGGATTCTCATTTGTTGTTTTTTCATGCTTGATTATCGTATTTTATTCTTTTTAACGTTATCCTTTTTAGAGTTTTTTCTCTATTAAAAAATTTTTTTTTTTGCTATTATTTGAGGTCTATTTCTATCAATTTTTTCTTCTATTTTATAAAAAATACAAATATAATATATTATTATATAATAAGCAAGAATTTATGAAATCTTCCGAAGAAATAATTTTTTTTGAAAAGTTTTTTTTTCGATTTATGTCAAGAATCTAGGAAGGATTTTCGCTTAGACGAATTTCATGGCAATTTTTGCAATCGTAAATACATCGTATCGTTTCACAATAATAAATTCACAAATTGAATATTTATTAATTCTTCGACATAGAATAATTCTTTAGTTTTTCTCTTCTTCAAATAATAATCAAAAGAAAGAATTTCATTCGAAGTACTCACAAGATGTATTAAAAAAAAAAAAAAAAAAATCTGTTATTGTACAGATACAATACGCGTACAATAAGCGTAAGAATTGAAAAAATAAGAATAATAATTAGGTTAAGAAAATTTTAAGAGAAATGAATGTGTCGAATGCGTTTGGCAGAAGAGCCAAAAAATTAAGAAACGAGTGCTTTCTAATAATGTTAATCGAAGTTTCACGGTGCGTATTCACAGGAATCGGCGAAATATCGTCGTTCAAAGGTGCTGTAAAAATATTTCTCGAGTTTCTCTTTTTTCTTTTCTTTTTTTTTCAAATAAATGCGAGCTTATAAAATTCTTCTTGATAATTTCGTTTTTACGATTATAATCAATCTTGAAACGGACGTTTAACCATGTTTTGCGACGGACAACCATCATTGTTTTTTAAACCTGTAAAAAAATAATGTTAGCGTTTGAAAATAGTTGAAATGCTGGCATTGAAATCGCGTTTAAAAGTCCTCGTTTCTCGCGTTTCGATATATTTTGAATACCTGCTTTCTATCGAAAAATTGTCGAATTTTTCTTTGATTTTGCGTGTGCGTGGTGCAATCTTGCCCACGACACGACTCTCCGTGAAACGGCTCTCGATCTTTTCCTCTTTTCTTTTTTTTTGTTTTTTTTTTTTTTTTTTTTTTTTTTTTTTTTTTTTTTTTTTTTTTCTTTTCTTTTCTTTTCTTTTTCTTTCTTTGTAGCTTTTAAGCCGGATACTGCATATATTCCCCACGGTTCCAAAGACATTTTTTTTTTCATGTCTCTGGAACAGTCGTTTCGTCATATGTGCATCTAGTCTTGTCCAGTATGCCCTCGTAACTTATGCACGCTGCGTGATACTCGCAGATCCGCATAAAACAAGAACAACAGAGACATGTAATACGTGCGTAGGTTTCGATTGTGTTACCACGTGCTGACGAGGACTTGCATTTAGAAGAAACGCTTGGGAAAAAAAATTCTTTTCTTTTTCTATCATATCTTAAAAATTATCTTCTCGTCGATACTCGAGTTGTATTTTTCTCTTCTTTTCTTTTTCTTTTTCCTTTTTTTTTTTTTTTCAATCGAAGAAAGCAAGTGGTAACAGAATCGCATGGCGTTACCGTTGTGCCATTACGCAAACATAATTGTTGTAAAAAAAGTTTTCTCCCGGAGTGTCACAACACTTTTACGATTAATCGTAAATTGACGACTTGACTTGAGATTTTCAGATTTGATCAACTCTTTAGGAGCAATAATCGAGCAATCAAGCGTTTTGATTCTATTATGATTTTGTGTTTTGTTAACTTTTTGAAATTTTTCTTTGTTGTCGATATTTTGTTTCACAAAACTAGGAGGGAGGGGGTCGAAAAGTGAGATTCGAATTGATAATATTTAAAAGAAATTGAATTTTCAAAAATGATATGGATATATTTTTTTCACGGTGGAATCTCTTAATTTATTCTACGATCAAATAATAGAAACACGTTCTCCGTGATTGCTCACTCCATAGTTTTTATCACTCGTTTTTTTTTTTTTTTTTTTTTTTGAATTGAAATGACAATGAAGACGAAAAACGTGTTGGGATCCTCCGTGGCTGCGAGCTCGTTTAATTACGAGAAGATAGGCTTAATTGAAGTAGTGTAATGGAAATAAACGAATTGGAAATGATTCGTTGTCGGGAGATTGCAATTCGATGGAAGAACAGAAATTTATTCGATATTTTTAGATACACGTATTATAATAATATATGTATACATATATATATATAGGGTACCATTGGAAGAATGGGTTCAAATGAAGGGAAGGAATCTATTTTTCTTTTTTCTTTTTTTTTTTTTTTTTTTTGCAATTTCGATTTCACGTAAGTCTTTCACTAATCACTTTGCAAAAATCAATCTTTGATCAATCTTTTTTTTTTTTTTTCAATTTTTCGAGAAAAATTTTAGAAAAGCTTAAGCGCTAAAAATCGATTTTTCTCGATCTATTTTCTTCCCCTCCTTTGACTTTCGGCACATAACTTGACAATTTTTAACATATATGTATATTTATTTTCTTTTTTTTTAAATACACATTAGATAAGCGTGCTCTGTTTTCTCTTGCTTTAAAAGCCTCGTTCTATCTTTTTTTTTTTCTTTTTTCTTCTTTTCTTCTTTTTAATTTATTCCACGAGAGATATGGTATGGTCAGCCTCGTTCTAAAAATTCTAAACGTTTTCTTCTTTCTGTTATATCAAAAGTAATCTTCTTCATCAAGAGTAGAAAACGTTTTACAAATAGAAACGAAGAGAATTCGTTTCTATGATTTTCCACTTTTTTCCTTTTTTTTTTTTTTTTTTTTTTTTACGAGATCTTTCATTGCTAGAATTACGAGAAAGTAGAGAGAAATTAGTTGTCTAGTAGGGCGAATCGGCCATCACTTAACAGCGTGCCTTTTTCACAAAATAATAAAGAAAAAACGAATAAAAAAAAAAAGAACACAATAACTACATCGATTAACCAATGATTAAATGTTTCAAATATTCTTGTTTGTATTCTTGTTGTCTTGTATTCGTTATTTCAATTATTTTTCAATATATATATATACATACATATATATATATATATATATAGACGTGGTAGAATTTTCGTTCTACTTCTATCCGGATTATATAACACTAATAAATTAAAATATATATTGTGCGATATACAAGACAATTTGGAACGTTGTCGAACTTGTATATTCTTTTTTTGTTGAACATTTTTTTTTTTTTTTTATTATTTTAACTTGATAATTACGAGGAGTACGAAAGAGTAGAAGAAACACAAAAACAAGCAAGTGGTCGATGAAATCTTCCACTGTGAAGAAGGATAAAGGGAAAAAGAAGAAAAATTTGATAAAACGAATAATAAAGTAATATGCGCTGAGATATAATGCCAGATCCTTTTTTTTTTTTTTTTNTTTTTTTTTTTTTTTTTTTTTATATAAATATATATATATATATATATAGACGAGCGGAGAAAATCGGTGGCACAAAGGAACGTATGAAAGTAAAAGGTGAAAACAACCACAATGTGATTTAGTATGTAAGCGAGAATAACCCCGTTAAAAATCAGTGTCCATACGTATACGTATAAAATCATTTCGATTGTTATACGTATACATATGTATACGTGACATATAAATAAATAAATTAATAAGTATAGTGGTACGGTGATGATGACGACGCGGCGATAAAATGCATCGCATATATAGAGTTAAATATAACCCTATAAACGAGAGTAAATATTGCTATTGTAATATGTAATAATTATTATAAAAGAATTATATATATATATATATACGTATATATGTATAAATATATTGGCGTGTATGTATATATTTATACATATATCGCGACCCATATGTACATGTTATATATATACATATATATATATTGTCTACCGATCGAGAAAGCGAAGAAATCTTTTTTTACGAATAATTTTATTTTTGAATGAAATACGATGAAAAGAATAAAATTTCACTATATTAAAACATAAACTTTGCGTCTCTTTTTTTTCGCCCATAAACCGTGTCTTTCTCTCTCTCTCTCTCTCTCTCTCTCTTTCTCTTTCTCTTTTTCTCTCCCTCCTTTTCCTACATCTTATATCTTTTTTATATAATTTAATATCCGTTAAAAAATTTTCGTATTTTGATCGAAAACGAAACAAGAGGAAAAAAAAAAAAAAAAAAGAAAAAGAATCGAATTTTTAAAAGATCACGCAATAATCGTATAATCGAAAATGAACTACGATCCCGAATACGATCGTAGTATAAGCATTTTAAGCGAAGAAGAAACCGGAATTTCAACTCGCGTCCCATCGGTGCGCCGCGTTAATTATCGCAATTGGCTAATTGGCTCAATTGGGCAAGTTTCTCGGTAGGAATTAAGATGGTGAATTTTTGCAGTCTAACCGAATCGAACATTCGTTTCCCGGAAGCCGTGTATACGTAAATCCTCCGCGAAATAACGGAAAAGTTGCGTAAGTTGGATAATTGCTAATAAAATTTAAAATCTATATTATATTATATTATATATATTTTATCGGTTAATAATAATAATAATAATAATAATAATAATAATAATAATAATAATAATAATAATAATGTTTCTTTTTTTTTTTCTATAGAGTGTATATATTCTCGTTCAGTACGAGGTATAAAAATATTAACTCAAAGATCGGAGAACAGATAATCACGGAGGGATCGTGGAAAAACTTTCACTCACGCGTTTCAACGCGTTGAAAATCAACTATTTCGTTGTTTTAACAGGCGTAAACGGGCGTTTATGATGCTCGCGATAAACGAGCGCTGCGTGAAAGCGAAGGCTGCGTGGGCGGAATTGGGTGTAATTGAATTCGAAGAGATATATAGATATATAGATTTGGAAGAATGCACGCTCTAGTCGAAAACTAACGAATATTTAATAATAATACCAGAGAAAATTTCCATCCGGATGATATTTGGATCACAGAAACATGGAATTAGTAAATAAATAAACGTAAAAAAACAAAAAAAAACAGCGTTTTGAATAACTATAACTTTCTCGAGTTTTTTTTATTATCGAGCGAGATTCCCAGATCTTATCGTTCTCGACTCGGTTTCCATTTTTCTTTCGATGATTCGCGACGCTCGATCAAGGCCACACCACCACCAGCTGCTCCTTCCTACATTCTATCCATCGCTTTTCTTTCGCGAAACCTTGCGTTATCCAGATTCGAACCGGCTTTGTTTCGCGTTGAGCGCTCCACGTCCTCGAGTATAAAAATAACTCGATAGTTTAATGTAAACGACGCGATGCACATATATCGTAGACGAGAAACCAAATATTGTTTCTACTCTTGAACGCACTCTATTTCCCTCCTTTTCACCCGAGTAAAAGCGTTCGTTGATATAACAACGGTGTTAAACAATATTCCACGACACGACGCGGAGAAAAACGTATATACGAAACGTACGTGTATGAATTATAACTAACGCGTTATTCTTTTTCTTTTTCTTTCTCCTTTTTTTCCTCTTCTTCTTCTTTTTCTTCTTCTTCTTCTTCTTCTTCTTCTTCTTCTTCTTCTTCTTCGCGATATTCCTCGCCGATTTATCGCCACGTGCCATTAATAATGCCGGCGAAACGACCTTACGACCGAGATCGTCGTTATCGATTAAGAATCAATCGCAACATTGTCTCGGTTCCGTGCCCCAGACGAACGATTCGCCTCGTGGAATAAACTCGGCTCGTAAATAAACGCTTAGAATATGAAAAACGATCGTGCGGCTCGTCCGTCGCTCATGAATAATTCACGGCAATCGGTCTTGCGTTTCAGCCTTTCGTTGATGGTTGGTTCTTGATTGAAGTTAAATTTCGCGTTTAATCGGGGGAGGGGAGAAGTGGGGAGGCGACCCGACCCGACCCAACCCAACCCAACCCAAACCATAAAGCGCGTAAAAATGTTTTTATCCTCGTTTTTTTTCCTTCCTTCGCGCGACGTTTTTTCACTGCGCAGTAAACACGTGGGACAAACTCGAGAAAGATTCGACGCGTCGAGATCGTTTTAAAATCGTTTTTAAAATCGATCGAGTTTTGTTTCCCCAACGAACATTTCACAACAACAATCGATTGAAAAATTTGAAGGAATTTTTCGGGGCTCGTGCACTGGCCAACGTGATTGTACGGTTGAAAAAAAAACAGGATAATCGGAGAGTTATCGATGTTATCGGAACGTTATCTCGCGAAACACGATCCATCGTATCGATTCCAATCGACTTATTGACGTGTTGATCTTTTCGCCGTCAATAGTCGAATTTAATAAACACTCCCTGCGATTAATCGATATCGATACGGGTAATCTCGAGTTGATACGTTTTTATTTTTATCCACTTAATCGAGAGAAATATTTCGTGGATCGAGCTAATGCGACAATGATTTTTAAGATATATATATATATATTTATAATTGCATCACAGGTTTAGCCTGTTTAGCGTCGTACAACGATCATTCATAAAGTTAAAAGAGTTTTTCGAAACGTCAGATTGAAAAAAATCGGCGTCGTTCATTTCGTACGAT